ACCCCCCAGCGCCACTAGCAGTTGCCAGCCCCACGGAGGAGAGAAGTGACCCCTTGGGATATGAGGTGGGGAGGGGAGGGGAGGGTTAGGCTTGGCTTTGGACACCCAGTGGGACTCTGCTCAGCTGGGCATCACTAGGGGATATCATGGCAAGGTTGCTCTGGGTTGGATGAAGATTTGCATTGTACCTGGCTGTGGAGGTGGACTGGTTCCCTGGGTGGTACTGGGGTTAACCCTGTGTTTGGGTTGAGCTGGGATGAGCCCCACTCCTGGGTTGCATTGGGTTTAGCCCCACATTTGGACTGTGTAACCTCATGATTGGGCTGTACTGGGTTTAACCCTACATTTGGGCTGAGCTGGGGTTAACCCTGTGTTTGGGATGAGCTGGAGTTTAAACCCATGTTTGTACTAAACTGGGGTTAATCCCACTCCTGACCTGTGCTGGGTTTAACCCCACATTTGGGCTGCACAAACCCATGTTTGGACTGTGCTACATGTTTGACTGAGTCTAACCCCACATTTTGTCTAAAGTGGGTTTAATCCCACTCCTGGTCTGAGCTGGATTTAACCATGCATTTGGACTGCACTAGATTTAACCCCAAATTTGGACTGCACTGGACATTCCTGGGTTGAGTGGGATTTAATCCTACTCCTGAGCTGCATGGGGTATAACCCCATGTTTGGGCTGCCCTGAGTTAAACCTGACACTGGGACTGTACTGGGTTTAGCCCCACATTCAGGCTGGGTGAGGGGTTTATTGGACTGCACTAGGCTTACAGGAAAAAAAACTGAAACTGGTTTAACTGGGGTTAAACTGGCTGTGGTTGACCCGACTGCAACTGTGCATGTGTGTGTTGCTGGCTTAGCTCAGCCTGGCATGGTTCCCCCCCCAGCAGGCATGGGGGTCCATGGGTGCTCAGCACCCCACCGAAGGGGTGCAGAGGTAAGCAGCCCTTTTTGAGGTCCCCAAGGGACTGGGGACAGTGAGCAGGGCTCTCCCCTTGGCCTGGGGGAGCATCACCCTGACAGTGCCCAAGGTGGGCGAGGAGTTGCCCTGGGGCACTGCCGGTGGTCCTGGGGACTGTGTGTGGCCCCCATGGCCCTAGAGGTGGTAGAGGACATGCTTCTCTCCCAGACAGCACACATTGCTGGGCTTTCACAGGACACCTGGTGGCTGGGAGGGTGCCAACAGCATTTAGGTGATGGGTGGCTCATTTCAGGGGACTGTCTGGGCAGTGGGGTCAGTGCTCCCCCCCCCCCCCCCCAACAGTGGCGGTGGAGGTCACCAATGCTGCCTGGTTTCAGGGCAGATCAGTGGCCAGAGGAATGGACTCAGGCTATGGGATGTGTTTTCCAGAGCAGGCACTGGCAGACAGAAGGGGGTGAGGTGCAGGGCCAGTGATGCTCCCCAAGTTCAGGGGCAGGAATAGAGTGTGATGCCATCTCAAAGGTGTTGGAGACAGCTGGCATCAGTCATTGCCCACTGCAGAGCAGATTTTTGCAGGTGGGTGACTCTGGCAGGGCAGAGCTGCTGAGTGCTCTTGGGTTGTTTTATTTGCCACGTCTCTATTGTAGCGATGCTGCCCCAGATCACCCTGGGGAGAGGTTAGGAGGCACCCCAGCTTTCTGTGCTCAGTGGGGAGCATCATGTGTCTCCCTGCTGCCATCTTCAGCCCTGTGGCATGGTATCATCTGCTTGTGTCCCCCCACCCCCAGATCTGCATGCAGCTTAAATTTGCTTTGAAGAGCAACTTCAAATGAAGCAAAGCAAAAAAATAAAAAACAACCCAAACCCCACTCTCTTTCAAAGCGCCGAACGCAATGGAAAGTTGGCCTCCCCCAGGAATCTGCGACGGCCTTTGCCAGGCCACGGCTGGGGGGATTGCCACACCCCACGTGGGCATCAGTGCCAGTGCACATGGCTGTGATTTTGGGGGATGTTTTGGCTCTCAGTGGGACATGACAGCAGCATTTTGGTTTGCAGGATTTCTCCCCGCAGCTCTCAGAAAACTTTTGGATGAGCTCAAATACTGCCCAGCAGGATAGCAGGGTCAGTGCAGGATGGAGAGAGAGTGGCACCTTGCATTTCTGGCTCACATCCATGGGTGCCATGCAGAGCCTGGTCTCCCGGGCCGTACTGGTGATGAGAGCATCCCGTGCTGAAGGATCAGAGTCCAGCAGTTCTGCCCTCCAAGCCACAGCCCTGGGTTGTGTTGGGTCCCTCTGCCCCAGCCATGGCTGTGGGAGGTCACCCGGCCCCCGGCAGGCAGCAGACGCCTCTTGAGCCGAGATTAGCTTGTGGGGAGGAAGAAAAGCTCCAATTGTTCCCTCTGTCCCGGCTCAGCTCCAGGACCACTGTGCCGGGGCTCCCTGTCCCTGGGATGTGTCATTGCCGGTGCAAGCATAGAGAGATGCTTTCTCCGCCTGTGTGCCCATCTGTGGGGCTGCAGAGCCGCTGAGGAAGGTGGCCTGACAACACATGTGTGTGCGTTCATTTTCACGCCCGTTTTTCCCCTTGGCAAGGGAGTTTGGTTGCAGAAAGTAAGGGGCAGGCTGTTTCTGGGCAGGCTGTTTTGCAGCAGTGCCTGGCCCAGAGCGCCTGGCCCCATGCCACGCCACCGCACCCGGGACAGGCGAGGGCTCCAGGTCTTCCCCCGCTCTGCGGCTCCTTCCCCTTTTGTTTGTGGCCTTCGGACAGACGAGGAAGGGCTTGCCCTGTTTCTTCTCTCTGTGGTGAGGATGCTCGGTCATGGCTAGGTTTTGGCAGTGCTCAGGCCGGTCACTTACTAAACCAGTGTGTGTGTGTGTTTGAAGGGAGGGCTTAGTGCTGTCTTCCCCCATGATGTGCTGGCAGGGGTGCTGGCTGGCCAGAAGAACCCGTCCAAGGCAGGGGAGCTCATGGGATGGTGGGGTGAGGATGGGGAGCACTGGGGGGGCCCTGGCACAGAGGGTGCTGAAGGGTGAGAAGCTACTGGGCGGCCCTCAGGGTGAGTAGTTGGGGACCACTGGAGAATCGCTGTGGAGATCAGGGGTTAGGATTACACTGGAGACAGTCTGCAGAGGTGCCCTCTACCACCACATAGGGGTCTGGGGTGCCTCTGTGTGTGTTGGCAATACCACCCACAGCCAGGCTGGCTGGGCAGGGTTCCCCAGAGAATTTAGCAGCAGCTGGCTGCAGATAGTGCCATGCCCCGAGTTCTTTCTTCGTCCATGCAGGGAAGGATGGCTTTCAGTATTGCAGCCGCTGGGTCATTTTTCCAGACTAGCCTTGAACAAATCAGTGGCTCTGAGATGTAGCAAACTCATGTCAGCAGTGAGCCAGCACCCAGAGCATATCCACTGCCACAGAGCAGCATGGTGGGCAATGGGTGCAGCAGCACTGCCTTCACCCTCTGCGGAGTTTGCACAAAACCTCAGGGCAGTCGGGGGAAGAAACGATTTTATTTTAAAACTATTTCTCTCTCTCCACACTAACACACTCTCCCTTCTACCTCACCCGCTCCCCCCCGCACCATCCCCTTAACTCTGACCCACGTGGTGTTTGGAGTTATTTTTGGTTGTTGCTTTTAAGTGTATTTTAGGTTTGGGCTTTTTTTTTTTTTTCCATCACCAAAATATTTTACTTTCAGGCCAAATGTTCCCAGTTAGTTACCAACATAGTTTTGTCAGAGACCTTTTAACTGATGCTTCTTTTCTACAGGTGGTAAAAGCTTATGACAGTTACATGAAATTATTTATGTTTGGGGCTTGCATTTGAGGCTGCCTGGTGTTTTCAGGACAGGGTGGTTGCGCAGTGCTGCACGCCTCCCCCCCTGCACTTGCTGGGTTGAAGCATATCACTTTGTAGTTCATGTTTCCTTTGCCACGCAGTTTAGTCTGTGGCCATGGGCACCTGCCCGCAGGAGAGGAACCAGCAACTGCTCTAGGATGCCTTTACAGGGCTGGAGCATCCCTCCCTGGAGCCCCCCAGCTCTTCAACCAGGTGACTCAGGGGGACATGGGTTTACTGCACAAGCTGCAGCCTGCACTTGGGACTGGCAGAGAGCTCACTGCCCTCAGCCCCTGCCCAACAGTATGGGCATAAATAAACAGGCCTGCCCATTCGTGAGAGATGGGCAGGAGCGTCTTCCAGGAAGAAATGATTCAGCTGTCTGCACCTGCTGGGGGCAGGCAGGGCTGGCTGACAGGGGCAGTGTGATGCTGCTGATATGGATGGCATGATGCTCGCCAGGATGAATGCCCTAAGGTGATGCTGGCTGGCACAGACAGGGGGATGCTGACTGGGATGGACAGGGTGATGCTGACTGATATGTGCAGAACAATGTAGGCTGGGATGGACACCACAGGTTCATGCTGGCTGTGCTATGATGGGGAAACCCCAGTTGAGTGCACATCCCTGACTCAGCATCCCCTGTGCTTCTCACTCCAGACCCACCGGTGATCTCTGAGTGGGAGGAAGACCCTGTCCCTGGGTCCAGAGACCCCAAATGGCCTGGGAGGGCACAGACCAGCACTGCTGCTGGTGCAGGGATGGCAGTAACATGGAACCCCCAGCCAGCTCCTCTCTTGGTACAGTGTACCCTACAGACCTGCTCTCCCTGGCTGTGTGAGCCTGTTCAGATCTAAATGCTGTCTCCTGCTGCATAAATACAGGCCAGAATTTCTCCTTGGTGCCTTCCTGCTCCAGCTGCACTGGCACAAGTCTTTGGACCACCCCAGGGCTGGGAGCCAGCCAAGGCTCCCGGCACAGGACTGCAATGGCAAAGAGCCCTTAATCCCGCCAACCCATGCAGCCCTGAGCTCCTGGTCAGTGTTTGCCCTTTGTGTTCCCCCTCCAGGCATGGGGACTTGGCAGCCAGGGAACAGCTGTGACAGTGGCCCAGAGACGAGAGGGAGATGCAGGGTCCATGGTCCTGCAGGGGTGCTCTCGACTGTGGAGCCTGCTGGCTGCCCCACTGCAGGGGATAACTCCCTCTCCCTCCCCACTCTGCCTCCTACAGATGCGCAGTCCCATCCCAGGCCTGGGCAGGGTGATGGTGTTCCTCGCAGCAGCCCTGGCATCAGCCTCCCTCGCTGTCCCCGAGGGCTGGGGAGAGGAAGGTGAGCCCCCACCAAGCCCCCTGCCCAGCCCCCCCATCCCAGACATGGAGACCCTGGGGACCCCCCATTTCTCCCAGGCAGGCATGGACCTACCAGAGTCAGGGTGTCCACGGAACACAGCCCCACAGCGATGGGTGTCCTCTGACCAGTGACTGCCTGCAGCTGCCCATTGCCCAGCCCCAACTGGGACCAGTTCTTCCCAGTCCCCTGTCATGGTAGCTGCATGAAGCAACACCCCACAGCCAGTGCCCAGCTCCCCAGGGGGCTACAGCCCCAGGCTGCCCACCTTGCCCCACAGCCCTGACATGAGGTGGCATGGGGTGCTAACAGCCATCTGGGGATGTGTGTGTCCCTCCAGGTGTGCAATATGGACAGGTGGGGACAGATGTGACCCTGTCGTGCACCAATACCCACGCCAGGTAGGTCTTTTCTGTGCATGCCGAGGGATTTATCTGATGGGATGGTTTACAGGCTGGACAGGTGACCCCGTCCCTGTCCTCTAACACTGTCTGACTGGTCTCTCCTCCCCAGCTTGCCGGTGCAATGGAGACGGGCGGGTGCCGTGGCACTTCCAGAGGGCTCAGCCATCCGGCAAGGAGCCCTGGTGCTGCCGTGTGCCAGCCTGGCCACTGCAGGAACCTACAGCTGCCACGGCGAGGATGGTGACCTCCTGCATGCTGTGTCCCTGCGGCTGGGGTGTGAGTAGCATGTCTGCAGGCTGGGGTATGGGGGATGCGTGGCCCCAGTGGGATGGGCCAGTGGTGCCTGCATCTTTGGCAGGAGCTTGGCAAGAGGGGGCTTTACAGTGACACAGGGGGCCCTGCATGCCAGCTGGGCTGCAGGATGGGGAACCCCTCACTGATTGTCTCTCCCCTCTGGACCCCAGACCTGCCAGGAGTCCCCTTTGTGTCGTGCAGAGCATCTGACTATGAGAATTTCTCCTGTTCCTGGACCTCAAGCGTGGAGACCTTCCTCCCTACCAGATACATCACCACCTACAGGTGATGTATCCATCCCTACAGGGCACAGGCTGGGGGGTTTATGGGATGAGCCCTGGGTCCCAGCCCCAAGGATAAATATCAAATCTTCCTGGCCATCCAACCCACACCCTAGGTTCATCTCCTGCCCCAAGGACCATGCTGCATCCTGGAGCAGGTCATGTATTGGGGTGAGCAGAGCACCGAGGATTTGCTTGCTCCAGGAGGGGCCCAACATCAGTACTGGGGGGCCAGCACAGGCAGGCTTCCTCCCTGCTAATGGCTCTGCCAGCACCAGAGGGGCTATAAAAAGGAAGCAGGTCGTCTTCAAGCCACTGAGCACTTTGGCATGCTTCAGGATGAAAGGAGCCCCGACAACATTGCTGCTTCTAATTATCCCAGCAGGCCAAATTACCAGGCTGCTTTGAAGTCAGACGGAGGTCATAAAGCTGCTGAAAGTTGAAGGAGCTGTGGACTGGGGGCTTGGTGGGGAAGGAGCTGTGTGAAGCACCAGGGGCTTGGCAGGGAGGAGGTGATGGGAAGCAGGGATTTGAGGGCCATAGTGGGAAGATGAAGCGAGCTACCAAGGATCTGCTTTTTTTGGTGTCCCCAAATCTTTGCTGCTTCTGCATGATGAAACCCTGGTCAAGGGAGGGGGCGTCCTCTGGGGAAGACCCTCCTGGGCACCCCCACTGTCTCATTTCCCTGGGACGCCCAACTTCTGCCAGGCTGCTTGCCAGCGGGACGGGGCATGGTTTTAGCTCCATCCCCCGTGGCGTGTCACCTGTGTGCGTCAGTGTGGGAGTGGGGGTTGCTCTGTGGTGCAGAGACCTCTGTTCCTCCTCTGGGTCATGGTGGGGTTGGCTTCATGCTGTCCCCTCATCCTCACTATCTGCTTTTCCAACTGTCTCCATGGCAGGAAGAAGTCGCTGACGGGTGAAGAGAAGAGGAGGTAGGACTGACTCCTAGCCCAGTCCCACTCCCTGGGGATTGGTCCTGTCCCAGAGGTTCTGCTACTGCCCTCAGTGGGGTCCATAAAGCAAGAGCTGGGGTTCCCCATTGGGGAGCCAGTTAACTAAGCCTGGGGGCCCAGGAGAAGGGTTTGCCCCAGAGAGGGACCTTCCCATGAGGAACTGTGGGGGTGGGATGGGTGTGTCACACCCCACTCAGATGAGGGAGACAAGTGATTTAGATGCGTGAATCCCCAACAGAGCGGACAACGTCTCAAAGTCCAGACATTTATTAACTTCCCACAATGTACTAACTGGATGCACAATAATTGGCTAAGTATGTAACGAGTTATGGCAAGCAATACAGTATGTCCTGTGTTACTTAATGGTAGTGAGCGAGAAGGGAAAAAAGGAAAGAAGGGAGAGAATAGAGAAATAGAGATCACTGGTCTGTGTTTCTGCTTTGATCCTGTCCAAGTTCATCAAGGATGTATCTGTCTTCTCTACTTCATGTCTTTTCTCTTTTCTCCTCTGACTTCTCACCCCCCCTCAATTTATACAAGTTTTCCTTAGGTCCATCCCCCAGGTCAACCCACATACCAACATATCCCATGTATGGGGAGGGGTAAGGTGCTTCGTGGGATGATGTCATTACCATGATCTTGATAATCTTTATTAGCATATTCAGGGTGTCAACTTTAATATTCATTTCATGGATAATGAAGCAATGGTCATTCACTGGACAGACAACCCCTGAACCTTGACCAGATGCACCAGAGCAGAGCCCTCCTGTCTCCCCAGGGCTCCCTCCTCCAGCCCAGCCTGTGCTATCCAGGCAGCCTTATCAGCCCCAAACTCCACACGATCCACCTTGTGACTGTAGTTTCATGACCTGCGAGTGTTTGAGACATTCCTCAGCTCAGAGAGCCTCCACTCCCCCCCCATCCCGTATCTCTCTCAGGCTGTTTTTCTCGCAGGCCTGTTCCTCTCCGACCCCAGTTTTTGGGGAGTTACAAGTCCTCTCTCACAGGGGGTCCTTTTGAGCATGCTGAGAGGGACGTGCCAGGCTCTGGAGGGGTGGGGGCAGCTAAACTGTAACAGGGGCTGCCTCCTCCACCAAACTCTTGGTATGGAGGTCTCCCCACATGTCACCTCTTTGGCAGCACCAGGAAGCTATGCAGGGCAGGCAGGGGGGCACATGTCACCACCCTGCCTCCCCATCTGCAGGAACAAGAACGGGCACATGGGGCCGTGCCTGCAGGATCCATCCCGCCCCGGTACCTGCACGGTCCATGGGTCAGAGTTCTGGAGCTCCTACCGCCTGAACATCACCGAGGTTAACCCCCTGGGCTCCAGCTTCCGCCTCCTCGATGTCACCATGCAGGCCATCAGTGAGTCTCCATCCATCCACCTCTCTATCCCGGAGTCTGTCCATGCCCTTGGCATCCAGCCTTAGGCAGGAGCAGGGAGCCCAACACCCCTCTGCATGGCAGTCCAGTGTGACAAGGGCTCCCTCTCCTCTCCTGCACAGTTAAGCCAGACCCTCCAGAGGGCTTGGTGGTGGAGCCCATACCCCTGGCCCCACGGCGACTCCATGTGAGCTGGAAGTACCCCTCCTCCTGGCCCAAGGAACCTCACTTCCAGCTCAGATTTCGACTCCAGTACCGGCCCATCATCCACCGCTCCTGGTCTGTGGTATGTGGTGGTGAGGAAAGGCAAAGCTCTCATGGGAGTAGGGTGGGCATGAGGACAGGGAGGGCAGCAAGGATTGCTCTTGCCTGCCCCACAGCTCCCCTCTGCCCGGTGCAGGTGGAAACCGTGAACCTGTCTGAGGTGATCACAGATGCCTTCGCCGGGCTGGAGCATGTGGTACAAGTCAGCGCCAAGGATTTCCTGGATGCGGGGAACTGGAGCGAGTGGAGTGCTGAGGCCCGGGCAACACCGGTCAGAGGTGCGAGAGGGATAGGCTGCAGCCCTACTAGGTTGTGCCATCCCTCCCCAGACCACATCCAGCACCCTTGGCTGCCCCTCTCCAACCCCCTTCACCATGGCACATATTCCCCCAGATATCACCCAGAGCCAGTCCCATCTTTTAGGGTCACTTAAAGTTAACTGAAAAAGCTGGTCCCCTGCACCACTCACAAGCTGGTCCCGTGGTGAGAGGCAGAGCTGCAAGGGGGCAAAACATCTCCCAGCCCCACAGCAGGCTGCTGCTGCCAATTGGGGATGCCCCCCCCAGCCTCGGGGCATAGTCAGTCTCCCAGAGCACCACTAGGACCAGGGGCACCCTTGGGCTTGTGGGATCCCTTGGTCACAAGGCCACACTTCTTTGTTCCTCTCTGTGGGTTCCCAGGGTGCTGCCCATGCTTTTGGCTGAGTGTTTCCCACCCCCTCTGACTTCCAGACCTGGCCACTGCAGCGAGTAAAGAAACCACTACAGACGCCAGCCTGGAGAGCCTGGCCGAGGAGCCTTCCCAGGCTCCCAACCCTGAGCCCATCAGTGAGTAAAGCTGGGGATGGCAGCAGGAGTGGGGACTGGCCTCAGGCAGCTGCCTGCCCGGGCACACCCGTGTCTGAGAGCAATGGGAAGGGTCTCTTGCTTCATGCCCATGTGTGTTTCGAGTGCTGGGGTGTCCAGGAGGGGTCCCCCAGGTGCCGGGGGCTGTGGCATCCCTCAGCTGTGACAGTCTCTCTGTCCCAGACCACAGCGACCCCCTGGAGAAGATGGCTGTTCTGGTGTCCCTCGGGATCTTCGCCTTCTTCATCCTGGCTGCTGTTCTTGTCATCACCATCCTCATCTGGTAGGTTGGTTTTGAGGGGGAGAGGTCTGGCTGATTGCTGTCGTTATCCCACTCTGACCCCTGAATCCTCAGCACAGAGTGCCCCATGTCCCCCCAGCCCTGCTCTCTGGTCCCTGCCCAGATACACTTGCTGCAAGCCTCATGAGGTGGTTTATGCTCCCCTTGCCCCTTTGCCATACCAGTGCCTCTTCCCAGCTCACGCTGCTGGCTGTGGTACTGCCCAGCCTTTTTGGGATCTTTTTGGTGAGCCCACCATCATGGAACCTTTCTCTATATCCCCCAAACATGCTGCTGCTAACATCCCCCCAAAGACTCTTGTCTTGCTGGGGACTCTCATGCTGCAGAGTCAGCGCAGAGAGCCCTCCATATGCCTTTGCCCACTAGGAGTCCTGCCCCCACACACTGCCCACTAGTCCTGTCCCCAGGTCCCCTCTCATCTTGCCACGGCTGGGGTCTCCCTGCTATGCTGTGGCTCTGCTGTCAGTCCCTGTCCCCATCCCAGCCCTGCTCTATCTCATGACCAGCTCCTGCTATAGCCCTGGAGCTGACCCACTGGAGTGTCTGGCATAGCTGGGCACAGCTGGATAGGGATACCGGGAGGGATCACCAGGGATGCAGGCAGTCCTGGTGTCCAGGGGGGCTGCTCAAGGGTCCTCATCCACTGCTGCTCTGTCCCCAGGCTCCGGGTGAGGAAACACGGCAAGGACAAGACAAAACCCCACAACTTCTTGATTGCTGCCACCCACTTGAAGGCACTGCCAAGTGAGTCAGGGTGCAGGGGTTAATGGGGGTATGTGGGGGAGGGAGTGCAGGGCTGGGGGGGAGGCCGGTGCGCCCCCCTGACCCCCTGCCCTCTCTCTTGGCAGAGGCCCAGATCCTGTAGTGAGCCCCGGCTGATCCCTGCTCCCTGCACCCGCTTGCCCACGCGTGGGACATGATGCCACTGCTGGCCCCCAAGGACCCCACACCTCCCGGGTCACCCCACAGCTGTGGACATTGCTGGAGCCCTCAGCATCTTGGGGGTGCAGGATGGACACTAAGGAGAGAGGCTCTGCTCCCAGGAGCTTTGGGCTGCCTGTGCTTGCCAAGAGCCGGCTGGAGGCACCTCAGACTTGGGGCGAGAGGCCAGCCCCACCGCCGGGCGCTGCTGAACATATGGGGATAAGATGATGAGCCAGCCCCACTTCACTGCCTAGTGTTGAGGGGGACCATGGGTGCAGGCTCCCAGGGGTGAGCAGGGGGGTGCTGAGCCCTGCCCGTCACGCCCCACCAGCCACCAGCAGGCAGATGGGACCCCCATCCCGTCCCTCTGCCCCTCTCTCCCATGCTGTGGCTGGATGTGGCAATGATGTCAATAAAGGGGATAGCATTGGCACTGCACAGGCAAGAAAGCCTTATAGATGTTGTTGGGCCAGAGGAAAGGTGGGTGGCACTGGGTGAGATGCTAGTTTGGGGATGGTCCTTGCAGGAGGTGCACAGGCAGCAGGGTTGATCCCCAAAGCCCCCTCTCCCGCACTTGGAGGTGCTGAGAGACCCTTGACTGGGCCAGCCCTTTTTGAGTGCCAGAAGAGGATGCAGGCATCTGCCTGGAACATCTCCCCTGCCCTCGCCAGCCCAGCAGCAGGGACAAGACCCTCTGCACAGCCCCCTGCACTCAGCATGTGGCCCCCTCCCCGCGCCTCAAACCGGCCCCTTTAATGGCTTCCATGTGTTGGCACCTCCCGACCCCGGTGTTCAGCGCCAGCAGCCCAATGAGATCCAGATGGGGCTGGGTGGAAATTCAGGCAGCAGCGGCGTGGGGAGCCCAGGGAGCAGAGCCAGCTTGGGGTGGGTCGCTGCGCCTGCCCCGCTGGGGAGATGTGTCACTTCTGGCTGGGGCTTGGGGCTGCCCTTGAACCCAGGGTGCAGAGAGGACCTGGAGCAGGAGCACATCCCAAAAATAGTCCTCATGGGGGCTGTGTTGGAGGGGACCAGGGCAGGGATGTGCCTTTTGCAATGGCTTTTGTGCCCACGGACCCCTCTGCCCTCACTAGGTTCCTCTGCACTCACACCCTGGGTGCAGGGGCATGGGGGCTGCCCCTGCTGGTGCTTGGCTCTGCAGGGTCTCAGTCCCTTGTTGCTTCTGGACGGGGACATGGGGGTCAGGCCTCCATCTATGGCATGCTACTGGGGTGGGACCATCCTTGGACAGGAGCAGAGTTCTCCACAGAGCAAGTAAGGCAAGTCACCAAGGTGGGGAGGTGTAAGGGGCCAGATTCTGCCTGTCCTTTTGGGCCCAACAGCCACATCGTCTCTCCCAGGTATATCCCAGAACTTGCCAGCTCCATCTGTGTCACACTGCCATCACCTGCTGGACTCTGGTCCCCAGCATCCAACCCAGCCAGCACCCTTTCTGATGCGTCATGCTCACCCTTGTCTCCCCTCGGTCCCCAGCATGGCATAGGCTTGGCCCTTTCCGCTTGGAAACCTGCTCTTCTCACCACCAGATCCCGCTTCCCTGCCACTATGGAGGGGATCAGGGCTGTGGTTGTCCATTGGATGATGTTGAACAGAGGTGATGTCCATCCCATAGCTGTGGCTCCAGTGTTTGCAAACTGAGCTCAGTGGTTTCCCGGCACCTGGTGCTGGTTTAGAGTCTGACGCCTGCTCGAGACACTGAAGCGCAACAGCCAGAAAATGGGAGAGAGTGTGAGCTGGCAGCTCTGGCCCCTGTTTTCTGCCTGCTATAAACTCCAGAAAGCCCAGGCATGCTCCAAATAAAAGGGTGTTGCTGCTGGTTAGGGGGAGCAGAGACCACCAGAGCCTTGCACATCCACCACATCCATCCAAGGTGATGTATGCCTGCCTTGTGCAGGCAAGCTCAGATGGGTAGATGAGAAATGACAGGCAGAGGGAACTCATAGCTGTGCTGTCCCCATGTGCCAAGCCCTGCGTCCCCTTCCTTAGCTGGGGCTGGCCTGGCCAGGTGGTGGGGACATCCAGTTCTGGTAGCTGGGTCAGCTTGAGGGCAGGAGATCCACATCTGGTCCTCTTCACCGCACCCTGCTGCCCTTGACCGTGGAGGGTGACCCCTTTCCTCTCCACACATTTGTCAGTTGGAAGTACGGAGAGCAGGCAAGAGATCTGCATGCCACTGTGAAGTCCTGTCTGTCTGCACTGCATCTGCCTGGTGGGATGCACCATGGCTCAGCTCCCTGCCCCAGCAGACTGTAAATGTGACACATGAGCATTGGAGACCCCAAGGAAACAGCGAGTTCAAAGACTGGGGTATAAAGATGCTTCTTGCTGGGTGCTGCACTCCCAACTGACCAGAGGGAGGATGCCCTAGTGCTGGACATGGCAAACAGGGCTTTTCACTGTACCAGTGAAGATGCAAGGGGAGGGCAAGGGTGAACAGCAATCTGGGACAAAGGAGAGGGCTCCAGATGCCAAAGTCAACTTTGCCATCAAGCCGTGGAGAAGAAAAACAGGAAGGAACCATGAGAGCAGTCCCAGTGCCGGCACCTCCCTGTCCCACCGCGGGGCCAGGGCACTTCCTCCAGGGCTCAGGCTCCTCTGTGGCTCACGCAGCTGCTGAGCGAGCAGGAGGCTTCCTGCTGCAGGCTGGAGCCCTGCCTGGACGCACCCTGCCCGGAGTAGGCAGAAACATTTCCAAACTTGCCTTGCTGCTGTATCCCACCCTCCCCAGGGTGGATGCTGTGCCAGGATCATTGTGGGAGCTGGTACAAGCCAGGCCTGGGGATGCTGAGGTTGTGCCAGGTCGAAGCAGCCTGTGAGCTGCATCCATGAGGAGCCGGGACGGGTCCAGCTTCCTGGAATGGGACAGAGACCAGCCCAAGCCCAGCAGGAGAAAAGTGCAGGAAGAACATGGCTTGGGTCCTGCTGGGGGTAGAAAATTTCCAGCAGGCAATGCTACGTGCCAGGGAAGGTCCCCAGCACTGAGGTGCAGAAAGGTCCATGTCCATGTCTCCATCCAGCACAGGGTAGCCCCATCCAGAGCATCTCTCAAGCAGGGACTGGGGTGCATCAGCTGCCCAGCTGTGTGTAGAGCTCATTTGGGAAAGCAATAGCCTGGGCAAAAGCGTTTGCAGCAGAGCACTGCTTGTGGGCGGTTGTGCAGCAGTGCCTGGGCTGCTTGACTGCCACCAACCCTGCCAAATATCTGAGCTGGCCCTCAGGCCTAGCCTCCTCCTATCCCTGCCTCTCTGCCAGGATCAGCCCTCATTTTGCAGGGGAGGAGGCGGTTTGCACAGGACTGTGAAGAAAAACAGTCTCAACTTACCTCTCATGGCTGCTTCTGCTTCCTTCTCCACCACATCCTGAGCCAAGGAAAGAAGTAAAAGCAACTCCAGCAGATCGTGGAAGCCACAGGGGCATGAAACACACATGTCACAAGGTGAAGGAGAAACGAAAGGGTACATGCATAGTCAGTGGTTCAGCAGACAGGGATGGCTGCATGGATTGAGGGAAGGAGCCGTACAAATGTATACACAGATTCATGGATTGGCTGGCAGAGGGATGGAGGGATGGGTATATGGAAGAATGGATGACTGTATGGATGGATAGGCAGTTTGGACACCCAAATACCATCCTAAGCATCAAAGATGCTCATGATGTAGAGGCTGATTTGTAACAATGGCTGGGAAGCCAACTGTGTAAGCCTGGCAAGGGAAGCCCATGGGCAGAGCAAGGATGGTGTTTGGGAACAAGTCCTAGGTGAGACCCATGCACCCAGTCCCCATGGAAGTGGCATCACAGCTGACAATGAGGAGACAGAGCCCAGACTGTTACCAGTGCAGAGCCCAAGAGTTTCAGGAGAGAACATGGGACATCTCCAGGGGGATCGCATCCCCCTCAGGAGCTGCTTCCAGCTCACACTGTCCAGGCACTGGGAATGAAGGAGCATCAGGGGCCCTGCCCTAGGTATACAGTGAACCCAAACATATATGCTTTAAAAACGCAGTACTGAGCATTCTCCCTGGCCATAGCTTTCATCTCATTTGCACGTGGGATACCTCTGTCTGGGGTCTTGCTAGAGGGTCCAAGCAACCAGCCCACTGGAGACCCATACTCCCTCTTCATCATCTGCCTCCCTTTCTAGCTGCCACAGGCCTGCAAATTCCTTGCCCATCATCCACTCTTTCTTGAAAGAGAGAAGGGGAGACATCACCTGCCAGGCCAGATGTGCTGGCACCCAAACAAATGTGGATAGGGGAGAGGCCTGAGACATCTCTTCTTGCTGCCCCGTTGTAGGCTTCTCCCTGCAGTAATGTGTTCTTTCTTTCTTTGCTTGCTGGGGCTGGCCCTTTCCCTGCCTCCAGGATGCTTTTGGTCTTTCACAGCCAGGAAGCGCTAAGCACGTGACCACAGAGATGCTGGGAGGCTAAAGCCAGCAGCTTAGCTGTACCCAAGCACTGCTGCTAGTGATGCTCTCAGGAAATGGCTGCTCCCTCCTCAGCAGCTCTTTGGATGAGCTCACAGAGGCCAGGACTTCCCTGCCAGGTTTTTTTTCCACTGAAAACAGTCCTGTTGTTCAAGCAAGAGTTCCCAGTGTTTTGTGTGCCTGCCATGAAGTGTGGTGGCACTGGAGGACACATGCTGTCGTATTTTCACAGTGCTCACTGCGTATTCCCTGTGCACACATCTCCACTGCTGTACAGCCTGAGGACTGGATCTCCTCGATGCTGCCATGTCACTTGCTCAGAGGAGATGATCTCCTTCCTTCCCTGTGGCAGAAACCATCTTCTCTTCCTGCTGCCTCCAGAGCTGCAGGGACTGAAATGGAGGACACGTTTTGGGAGTTTCCCTGGAGCACAGGGAGCCTTCCTACCTGCTCTTTTCCTACCACCTGCACCTTGTGGTCCCCTGCATCTATTGTCACGTCAGCTGCTTCATCTGCAGGGGCAGACCAAGCAAAGAGAAGTTATGGCCCAGCCCTAGACAGGAGCTCCTCAACCAGACAGGGGACTAGTGCTCCCCATGCTTCCAGAATCGCACAGAGCAGGCTCTGGGCAGGCAGACAACCCTGTACAGCAGGGCCTTTCTCTGCATCCTGGAAATGATGGGCCAAAGTTAAATGTGACTCTGGGAGTCTCATGTGGCTTTGCAGGGTTACAACACACAGAGCCATCCCAGCATACAAGCAATCCCAGCCTTTGCTCCACGCTGGGAAATCCACCAGATATGACATCAGCTGAGCTCCACGTACATGCTGGGCACTGGCATAGTCACCTCTGTGCTGATGGATCTGGAGTGGTAAGGTGCTAGAAGTGCCACATCCATGTCTACACCTGGGATCTCCTGCAGGATGCAGGAAGGCACTGATCCCCAGGAGAATGCTGACCTGGAAAGCACTGATGCCAGGGAGGGTGCTGACCTGGAAGGGTG